AAAGAGGGAAAGGGAAAGAAAAAGTTTTGGTATCTAGATGGAGAAAAGAAAAAGTGTAAGCTTTGGTATCTAGATGGAGTGCGTTCAGGTCCTTGCTCTAAATCTCTGGGTTTTCTTTGCTCATTTGTGAATGAGAATGAAAATGTGCAGTGTTGTAAGAATTAGTAGCAATGTGAGGAAACTTCAAAAAGTTCATGGAAAAGTAGAATTAAAGTACATGTTTTCTTGGTGCAAAAAATGTTTTTGAAATCTATGCATAGTTTTTCATAATATGCATTTTACATCAACTTCCTGGAGATTCTTCACATATGCAAAGCACCTGGCATTTGTTAAGTTCTTGGTAAATGGGACTGGAATTGTTTTAGAGCTGCTTGGGCCTGAAACTTGTGAACTGTGCTTCCTCCCCACTGTGGCTGTCCTCTCAGCTTTGATCGCACTTGCCCTCCTGGTTCTTCTGCTAGCTCATTGATGATTCTCTTATTATTCGTTAGCTTTTATTGCTATTCTCACTCTACTGAAGTGTGTCTTTATGCCTTTCTTCCCCTTTTCCTCTCTAGTCAGTCTAACTCTGTCGTTTATTTAAAATATTGGGTTGCTGGAAAAGCAATTGTTTAGATTTTTATAAATTGAGAATGTTGTAAATTGCAAATTAGAAATTCTTCTCAGAGACAGAAAGGAATTCTAGAAAGGCTTTCAATGCTTTTTAGCAGGACACACAAAGCACTACATAAAGCAGCGCTTGCCCCTCTGTTCAGCACCCCTGGGCTCTAGCTTTTCGCCAGGCGCGGGTGCGTGTGTGCCCAAGATCCCGAGAGGAGAATGGAGGAGAAGGAATTGTAACTTGGCCATCCCCCTGGGGGGTGATTTCTCGCTTTGTGTCTCCCTGTCTCTTTCTGTCTAACTGACGAGCACACGCGCCCTATAGCAAAAAAAGAAAATAAAAAGAAAATAAAAACCTCTCCAAAAAAGAAAAAGTTATGACATGTTTTTATATGCAGAAATGCATTGTGACCTTTCTGATGACCCAATGATAAGCTCCCAGGCTCTCTTTCAAGTGCCAACACCCCTCCCCTAACTGAGCAGTCAGCCATTCATTGACAAATACCTGCAGAGCCACCTGGGGCTGGTCACTGCTGGGAGTTGATGTTAGAGTGATCCACCAGTCACAGGTGGTTCCTGCCCTGTGGGTGGAGAAACTCATGCACAGTAAGGACACAGCCTCCTAAACCACCTCCTCTGTGTTAGGAGAGCACGGAGCAGGAAGCCATAACCTACTTTGGGTGAGGGAGAATGCTGTTATTTAATTAAGCTGAGACTGGGAAGACAAGTGGGAGTTAGCTGGGAAGAGGCGAGTGGAGTTGGAAAAGAAAGAGCATTCCATATTATCTTTAAAATTCAGTATTTTGAAAATTTGAAAGTTGTTTATTAGCTGTCAAGAACTATAGAGTATGAGCAAAAGTTTTTTGATATGGGGAACCAGCAGTTAGCGTAATGGCTATGTCGCTGGACTCCAATGCTATGTCGCTGGACTCCCACGTAGTCGACCGCAGTGCGCGTCCCGGACCCGATGGCTTAAAACTCACGCCGGGCGCGTGTGCGTGCGTGCCCAAGATCCCAAGAGGAGAATGGAGGAGAAGGGATTGCGGCGTGACCATCCCCCCTGGGGAGTGATTTCTCACTTTCTGTCTCTATGTCTCTCTCTGTCTGATGAACACACGTGTCCTATAGCAAAAAAAACCTCTCCAAAAAAAGAAAAAAAAATTTTTTTTGATATGTAAAGTAAATGTTTGTGGGAAAATGTAAAAATAAGTAATTTTTTTTTTTTAAAAAAAAGAAAGAGCATTTCAGGCTGAGGGGAAGCGTGTGTGAAGGCACTGAGGAGCAAGGATGGCATATTAGAGGAGCTGGAAAGCGATCATGTAGCCGCAGAGAAAACTGTGAAGTAGGAAACTAAGTGTTTCTTGTGTTTTCTCTCATTTAACCACCATGAGCATCTCAAGAGAGATTACCAGGATTACCAGGAACAACAATTAGTGTGATGGCTATGTCTCTGGACTCCCATGTGGTCAACTGCAGTTCGAGTCCCAGACCCCATGGCTTAAACTCAGGCCGGGTGCATGTGCGTGTGTGCCCAAGATCCCGAGAGGAGAATGGAGGAGAAGGGATTGTGGTGTGGCCATCCCCCCCGGAGGGCGCTTTCTCACCTTCTGTCTCTCTCTCTCTCTGTCTTTCTGGCGAGCGCACGCACCCTATAGCAAAAACCTCTCAAAAAAAAAAAAAAATAAGTGATTACTGTTATTATCCTCACTTTGCAGATGAGTAACTGGGGCAAAGCGAGATGAAATAACTTCCGTAAGTTTATATATCTGGTAGATAGTGAAGCTAGAATTCAGAGCCAGGCAATCTGATTTAAACCATACTGAGTCTCCTCGCTCCTGTCTGCCAGCTCCATTGTGGACCTTCACGTGGCTGATGGATCTGCCGTTTCTAATGTCAGGGTTTGATCATTTGCCATGTGCTCAGACCTCTTTGCAGTTCTTCAGTGTCTTTAGAGGAAACTCCAAAGTTCTTAGTGGGAATTTTAAAGCCTTTAATTATCTTTATTTTCACATCATCGCCCTTTCCCCATCCCTACCTTGCCCACATCCAGCCCCTCAGGACTATTCTGTGTAATCTCCCCGTTCAGCCATCAGCACATGGGTGTCCCTGCCCTCGTCTTTGTTGTTCCAGTGGCATGGTGGGCTCCCCCCACCCCTTTTGCCTCTCAAGATCCTTTTCAAGGTTCAGGTCCCCTATGCATTTCCCAAACTTCTCGAAGCTGTCCCCACCTTCCCCCTACTTCCTAAGACTTAACTCTTCTCTCTTCAGCACTTGCCAGCGAGGAGGAGGAGGTCACGTGGCACTGTAGAACGTGTCGAGGCTTTTGTGTCAGACCCCTGGATCTCAGCCCTACCACTTGCTAGCTGAGTGTCTTAGGACAAGTTTCTCCATCTTTCTGAGCTTCCAATTCCTCATTTGTAAAATGAGCATAATATTTACTTTGCAGGATTGGCATGGCAAATGGTTACCCTGCTGTCTAAGACACTGTACTTAGTCAATAAATAATTATTATTCCCATCATTATGGTAGTACAGTCAGGGAACCCACCACTAGGTGCTGTGCAAAGAGAATTATATAAAGGGGTATTTTCTTGAGCCCCTTGGAATAAATTTTATTCTTTCATTGTATTCTAGACTATCATTCTGCATTGTAGTACTTTGTCATCATAATAATGAAGCATGTTTGACTATGAAATTAGCCTGGTTTCTTTTTTTCTTTTTTAAATTTCTAGCCATGGTAGAGGGAACCCCACAGTTGAACATGGTTGGCCTCTTTCGACAAATAATTTCCAAAGAAGGAATACCAGGACTTTACAGAGGCATCACCCCAAACTTCATGAAGGTGCTCCCTGCTGTTGGCATCAGTTATGTGGTTTATGAAAACATGAAGCAAACATTAGGAGTAGCCCAGAAATGACACTGTTTTTTTTTTTCCTTTGGCATGATTATTGAAATTTTCAACAATTTCCAGAGTAACATTTTCTACAGTTGAAATAAGTCTATGGGAAAAAGATATATATATATATATTTTTTTTTTTCCCACACAAGGGAAAAGGATTTCACTGATCACTTCGAACATTTTGGCTCAATTTTATATGTACATAAATACATAAAAATATCATAGTTAATAAGTTTTGAAAAGGCCACAAAACTGTACTTTGTCTTCATCCTGTAGATCCCTGCACTGAATCTTGAATCTGAAAATGAATTTGCTTGAACTAAATTTGTTTTGTGTGTGGAATTATAAATTATTGATCTTTACTTTGGTTCGTTCAGGTTTATGCCAATTTATTTATACTTGATGCCATTTTTTAAAAACACAAATGACCAGCGGCTTAAATTGTTTTATATATTTTGAATATCTCTTTAGACTTCTCAGAAGTTCCTGTAGAACCATTAATAAAAGATCATTGTATTAAAAATAAGCCTTACAGCAGCCAAATAAGAATTGGGTTTTTATCCTTATCTTTCTCTAAGCAGATTAGGAAAGGACATATGTGGTAGAATTTATAAGGAGTGATGAAGTAGTCTTTGTTCCAGTGAGTACTTTTCCATTGTTCTTGCAAGGTCATTTGGTTCCTGAAGTGACACACCGATGGTCAGTATGTTGCTGTTAAATTATCAACACAAGACAATATATTTGAAAGATTTGGTTTATCCTGTCATTGCTGTGTAAAGCAGCAGGAAGCAAAACCCTTATATCAGCTTCTGAAGAGCATCTCTCTTTTCTTTATCCTTTGTTCCCTGCTTCTGGAATCAGATTCTGTTTAATCAGAAATGGTTCTTGGGAACATTCTTAGTCATCTGAAGTTTTCCTTTTTTAATTAAGTGAAGTGAATTGATCCCAGGTCAAAGACATATTAATTTCCTCCTCATTGTCAAGTGCTTTTGAATCTGCCTTTCTCAATTTAAGTGACATAAAATTAAGAGAATAGTATGTATTAATGCATGAGAAGTATTCACCTTATATATTAGATATCTGTTTTTAAATGCAAGGTCCAATTTGTAAACATAGGCATTCACATCCTCTTTGGCCTCAAATTTTGGAAACATTAGTTATCATATAGAAAACATTTAAGATAGTGATAGCATTTTTTCTTTTTTAAGAGAGATTTTTTTTATAGGGTGGATGTACTCACCAGAGACAGAAAGTGAGAAATCACCCCCTTAGGTGGGATGGCCATATCACAGTCCCTTCTCCTTCATTCTTCTCTTGGGATTTTGGGCATGCACTCACATGTGCTCGGCCTGTTTTAAGCCTCTGGGTCTGGGACTCAAACTGTGGTCACCTATATGAGAGTACAGCACCATAACCATTGTGCCATCTGCTGGTCCCAATGATAGCATTTTTAAAAAGTTTTACTAAAGCCATTTTTGTTCTCAGCTATCTTTTCCTGATTTGTGTGATTATACTTAGAAAAATATTTATTAATTGAAGTTATTCTTATTGCTGTTTAATTTAGTTCCTAAGCTTATTTGACTTCTAGTGCTTTCTGTTATAAATTGTCAACATTTATTGAAAATCTAGTGATATAATAGGCACTTACTTTTTTTGAACCTACCTCTTTTATTTCCTGAACCAAAGAGTAAAGATGAACTTACGTTTGTGAAACATACTAAAATCTAGATTCATTTATATTAGTTAGGCCTGATAAATGTTTGGTATTTTTATAATGCTTGTGATAAGTATAGAACCCTTCTTTATCTTCAGGGTTATTTGTATTTTTGAGTAATATGTAAGAAGACAATATTAAGGTACAGGATTAGCTCTTTTTTTAACTCATAAAAATTATGGAAATGATCAATTTTTGAACTTTTTGAAATTCTAAGCTGCTGAAAAATAAGAAAATATTCATTGTTCATTATGAATTAAAAAATTTTCCCCACTTGCCATTTGTAATGTGACTTATCTGTGCATCTTGTATCTTTTGAAAAAATGATCTTATATCTTTTAGAAAAAAGCCTAGAGTTGGAAATAGTTTTTTTTCTGGCATTAGTACATATTTACTTTCCATGTATATTAAAAAATTGTTTGTTTTACAAATGACTTGGTTTGTATTTTTTTTTAATTTATAAATAAAATGAAAAGTGTCTGTGTCACACGGCTTAGATCATCGGCAATGGTTTGAATCAAGCTTTCTGAAACTGGCCCCATAGAGCATTTCCAAATACTTTAGCCTTTCCTGAACAGTCAGGGTGGTTATTGTCTGTCTGTGCATGTCAGCATACGGTAGCGTCTTTTTGTGCTACCAAATTTCACAGGTACCAATTAGGGTTACACTCCAGGGGGATCACAGTGCCAGGGAGAACCCAGACTAACTTTGCACACCTTGGTGTGGAACATCAGTTTGCCTTGAAATTGTGAGAAACAAAATCCAAGTGAACTTACTGATAAGTTATTTAAAAATATATAATGCAGGGACCAGCAGTTAGCATATTGACTGTGTCGCTGGACTCACATGTAGTTGACCGCGGTTTGAGTTCCGGACCCGGTGGCTAAAACTCACATCGGGTGCATGTACGTGTGCGCCCAAGATCCTGAGAGGAGAATGGAGGAGAAGGGATTGCGGTGTGGCCATTCCCCCTGGGGGGGGGTGATTTCTAGCTTTCTGTCTCTCTGTCTCTCTCTGTCTTTCTAGTGAGTGCATGTGCCCTATAGCAAAAACTCCCCCCCCAAAAAAATTATATATACACACACACACACACACACACACATATAAAATGCAGATTACAAGTACAAAATTTTATTTAAAAAAACATGAAAGACTACAGAGAAATCTATATGTCAGCCTAAATTCTACTCATACTCCAGAAATAACCTAGTCCTGGGACCAGCAATTAGCGTAATGGCTATGTCGCTGGACTCCCATGTAGTCACCCGTGGTTTGAGTCCTGGACCCAGTGGCTTAAACTCACGCCAGATGTGAGTGCGTGCATGCCCAAGATCCTGAGAGGAGAAGGGAGAAGAAGGGATTGTGGTGTGGCCATCTCCCTGGGGGGTGATGTCTCGCTTTCTGTTCCTCTGTCTCTCTCTGTCTTTCTGGTGAGCGCACGTGCCCCATAGTCCTCTCCCCCCCCCCCCCCCAAAAAAAAATAACGTCCTTTTCTGCTCTCAGGGAGCCTTTGTCAGAAAAAGGCTGAGGATTTGTTTCTTGCCTATTAGTCTGGTCTCCTACAGGAGAATCAACATCAGCAGAGGATTCTAGTTTACACTTTTTTTTCCTTTGAGCTTTACACTGGGACATGTGTAACCCTGTGGCATAGTTTCCTCATCCCCAGACAGGACTGTTGCCAGCCCTTGAGAAGAGCACCAACAGAATGGTGGCGGTATTTGTGGAACGGAGCAACCAGTGACGCCTCCTTCCCTCGTCTGCCATATTCCCTCACTGGGAGAAGTAGGGGTGCTCTGAATTCATGCAGACCTGGGTTGGGGGAACACACCCTGCAGTGTTTTGTCTATGTCTCCCTCTGTAGAGGACTGAGCCGTGCTGAAGTTCAAGCTACTCCTCCCTAGCCGCAGTGTGAATAAAGACACCTGCTCTGGGCTGCTGACTCTGTGCAGGAGGTGAGCGGGTCCCCTGGTCTGGGTTGCTGTGGGCCCCAAGGCCCTGTGCTCGGACCACGGCCACTGTGCAGAGACACAGTGGCATGGTGTGCAGTAAAGGCAGAGCTCCTCAAACGGGACCACTTGCGCATTTTTCCCGTCAGCGTTCACTCATCCGCTTGTCCTTTTACTGAGTATCACACACTCACAGTGCGCCAGGCACTCTTATTGGCCGAGAGCACAGCCCTGACCCAAAGGCTCAGACTTACTGTCATGGAGGCTGTCTAATGGGGAGAGCCAACCCGCTAAGGAAAGTGCGAGAGGTGGCAGGGGGGGCTAGGTGCAAGGGGCAGCGCTGTGCTGGTGCAGGAAGTTTGAGGAGACAGAGAAGGCCTGACTGAGAAGGCGCCCTTTGAAGGAGGTGCTATTCTGAGTCACTGAAGAACATCATTGAGACGAGCAGGTTCCCTGGTCACCAGTGTGAGGGACATGGAGGAGCCAGTGTAGTGGGGGTGGGGAGGAGTGAGCTGGGGAGGGAGATGGAGCCCCCAAAGGAGGCCGTGCATGTACACATATTCTAGTACTGCAATAGCAAGTTTCTTGGTGATATTCCCTGAAAAAGATTCAAATGTCGCTCCTCAGGGGTAAGGAGTTTCATTATTAAAAACATTTTGGAGGGCCATCGGGTGGCCTGGTGGCTAAGGCAGTTGGATCCCACATAGCTGTCCTTGTGTTTTAAGCCCTAGACCTGGCGGCTTGAAAAACATACCTAGGCTGTTTGCATGTGCGCTCAAAATCTCAAGTCGGGGAGGGAGAAATGGAGGAGATGGGATTGTGGTGTGACCCTCCCCCGGGGTGGGGGTGCTTTCTCAGCCCTGGAGGGGAGGGAGAAGTGGAGGACATGGGGTTGTGGTGTGACCATCCCCTATGGCAGTGGGGACGGGGGTGCTTTCTCACTTTCCTTCTGTCTTTCTCTGCCTCTGGTGAACCCCTGTGCCCTCTGGCAAATTAGAACAAAGCTAACAACATTTTTTGGAAAACACCCTTGGTTTTTGGAAACTGGTGTTTCTTTCACAGGCAGAATAGTTTTCCCTGCTGTCGTCCCAGTTCATTGACCCATTCCTCAGATACGATCAGTTGTTCTCACTCTCTCCAGGAGGGAGAATTCTCACTTTTTAAAAAGGCATTCATGCAGAATCCTAACACCCTCCTAGATGCTTGACTGAGAATTACAGAGAACTCTTGACTTTCCCAAACAGGGCTATAGTTGTCCTCATTTCCTTCTCTGACCGCCTGCTTATTTTACAGTGTTTGAAGTATTTATTATTAGTCGAGATGATCTCATTTTAACTTCATGTCCCCAGAGACAAGCTAACAGTGACAACCAAGTGATTTGGATTTTGTTACCCCTGAAAGCCGGCTGGTTTGTCCAGGGGCTTTCTGTAGCTAGCCAGGTCTCACCGGAGTTTACAAGCATCTCTTTTACCAGGTTCTGCAGCAGTCTTGGCCACAAGCTCCAGACGAATTAGCCCAACTCCAGCACCTAACGCCAGTGCATCACTCAGCCTGTCTTTGCCATCCTGCAGGAGGCCCCCCGTGGATCTTAGTGTACCCCTGGCATGTGCAAAAAACCCCCAACATCTTCTTATTTTCTCTAAATCAACTTAAAACCATCTGGAAGCTCCTACCACTCACCATCGTGCCAGTGCCCTGGGGTCTCAGCCCCCGCAGCCCATGGTCCACATCTGACCATGGATGGCCCTCTGTCCAGCTTTCCTGGTGCTGGTAGTAGCGGCCGTGCTGTGCTTGGTGTAGGGTGGCTGGGAAGGTGTGGAGCCCCTGGACCTGAGGCCTGGCCTTTCCATCGAAGGGTGAAGAGTTCATGTGGCTGCCCTTAGCCCTGGGACCCAGGAAGCTTTGTCTCCTTCCTCACGTCTGATCTACCCTCTTTTCCCTTTGCTCTTAGAAGCACCCCTCCTCTCTTCTCTTTGGGGGCTGGGACTCCTCTGCCTGTTGCAGGTTAGGCATTTGCAAAAGACAGTAGAGCCTTTGATTGAAATCAACTTCTGTTTTCCACTTTTAAAAACTCACTGAGGGGGACCAGTAGATGGCGTAATGGCTACCTCACTGGACTCCCATGTAGTCAACCGTGGTTTGAATCCCAGACCCGGTGGCTTAAACTCATGCCAGACGCATGTGCGTGCGTGCCCAAGATCCTGAGAGGAGAATGGAGGAGGAGGGATTGCAGCATGGTCATTCCCCCTCTCCCCCCAGCAGGGGTGGGTGTGATTTCTCGCTTTCTGTCTCTCTGTCTCTCTCTGTCTTTCTGGCAAGTGAACGTGCCGTATAGCAAAAACCACTCCAAAGGAATACTAAACAAAACAAAACTCACTGAGGGAGGACAGGAATACTAAACAAAACAAAACTCACTGAGGTAGGACCCTCAGATGGTGTAATGGTTACATCACTGGACTCCCATGTAGTCTACCGCAGTTTGAGTCCCAGATCTGGCAACTTAAAATTCACTCCGGGCATGTGTACATGCATGTCCAAGATCCCCAGAGGAGAATTGGGCATGGCTATTCCTGGTGTGTGTGTGTGTGTGAGTGATTTCTCATTTTCTGTCTCTCTGTCTCTCCAGCCAGTGCTTGCACCCTATAGAGAAAAA